GAGATACTCTAGAGAGTATCCAATTATTCACATTCGTTGGAACACTTGGAAGTGTTCTAATATTGTTCGATTTTTTTTTTTTTGAATTGAAGGTTGAATATTTTCAAATAAAACAAAATTTATTTAGAAATAGAAAGTGCATTAATGGTTGAGTTTTTAAGTGAAATTGAAATTGGTAGTCTAGTTTAGAAAAATCATTCATTTACGGCATATTACATTGTTTACATACATTTCACTCATTTACGGCATATGTTGCAAGAGCCTCATTGGGGTTTCCTTCTCCGTTTCTCTACAGTGCCGATGTCGTGAAGGAGATCACAGAACATGTTCAGAATTTTCTAAGCGAAGGACAAAACCCTAAACCCCAAGGAAGCGGAGGAGAAAACCCTAAAACTGACCAAGGCTCTAACCCAACACTAAACACTAGTAGCAAACCAGGAGAAAAGCGCCTGAAGCAATTGGAAGAAAAGTTGGATGTGGAGTGCAATGACAACGAAACTCGTATTGTTGGACTCGTCGGTATGGCTGGAATTGGCAAGACCTATCTCGCCGAGCAATTGTCCAAGAAACTGAAGGCGCAGATCACTCGTTACGTGTTTATCAAGGCAAATGGATTAGATAAGCTGGAACTCCAAAAGACACTTGTCCAAGGTTTACTTGTGAATCAAGATATAAACTGCGGTAATGGGAATGCACTTGAGCTGTCGAAAGATCGTCTTCTGAAGAACAAAGTTGCGGTTGTACTCGATGACGTGAGTGACACGGAACAAGTAAATGCGCTTCTTGGGAACTGTGAGTGGATTAAGAAGGGAAGCAGAATCGTCATCACTACACGGGACAAGTCACTGCTCAATGGACTTACCACCTGCGATCTCTATGAGGTCCCCAAGTTGAATGACAAAGACAGCTTAGACCTCTTTACCACTCAAATCTGTACTACTCTTGAAGGAAAATTCATGGAGCTGTCTAGAAAGTTCGTAGGTTATACAGGAGGAAACCCATTAGCTCTCAAGGAATTTGGTGTGGAGCTTTACGGGAAAGACGAGGCTCACTGGGAAACAAGGCTTGGAACATTGACACAACGTGTCGGAAAGGAGTTGAGAAACAGCTATGATAAACTAAACGAGCAGGAGAAGGATGCGTTTCTTGATATAGCCTATTTCTTCAGATCCCAAGATGAGAACTACATCAGAAGTTTACTTGATTCTTTTGACCCTGAATCCACCGAAGCTGAAAAGGTTCTTAGAGGTCTCGCAGACAAGTTCTTGATTAACATATGCAATGGTCGAGTTGAGATGCAAGATCTACTCTTTACAATGGCCAAGGAACTTGTTGATGAAGCTACTCCAGGGAAATACAAGCTATTGACGTCGAACTGTGCAGAGTTTACTAGTGCGTTGGAAAATAAAGAGGTAATAATGAAACTTGAAACTTTATACATTAGCATTGTTTTGAATATATGCGTGCTTGCAATAATTTGTTGTAGTTCGTATTTGATCAACAGGGAAGAGAAAAGGTTCGAGGAATTTTTCTAGACGTGTCTAAAATGGAGGAAATGCCTTTAGACTACCAAGCCTTTGTCGGTATGAGCAGCCTACTGTACCTGAAAGTCCACGATCCTGACCATAGTGAAGCTAAGTGCAAGTTAAACTTACCTGATGGACTTGAATTCCCAAAAGATAATATTCTCCGATATCTCCAATGGATAAAATTCCCAAGAAAGGAACTTCCATCAGACTTCGAACCCAAGAATCTTATCGATCTTAAGTTGCCTTATAGCAAGATTACCAGTGTATGGAACCGTGCTCAGGTTTGTGGCTCTCTAATTAGTTTAAACGTAAAAGTTGACTTTGTGTAGTTTAATTTTGTGACTAATAGTGGAAGTCTGTTTTTTTCATCACAGGTTTCTCCAAATCTGAAGTGGGTTGATCTGAGTTACTCGAGTATGTTGACTTCCATTTCAAGTCTATCAGATGCTCCAAATCTTTTGAGATTAAACCTTGAAGGCTGTATAAGTTTGGAGGAGTTACCTAGAGATTTGCAAAAGATGAAGAATCTCATCTTCCTAAACCTAAGAGGATGCACAAGCCTTTTGTCTCTGCCAAAGATCACAATGGATTCCCTGAAGACTCTCATACTCAGCGGCTGCAAAAAGCTTCAAACATTTGAGGTGATTTCAGAACATATAGAAACTCTCTACTTAAACGATACTGCAATAGATGGACTTCCTCCAACCATTGGTGATCTCCACAAACTTATCTTATTAAATTTGAAAGACTGCAAAAATCTGGTGACTCTTCCTGATTGTCTTGGAAAGCTTAAATCTCTTCAAGAAATCAAACTCTCTCGTTGTTCGGAGATCAAGATTTTCCCCAAGTTTACGGAGAACATGGAGAATTTGAGGCTTTTATTGCTTGATGGAACATCAATAACTGAGATGCCATGCAATATTATCAACTTATCTTTCCTACAAAGTATATGCTTAAGTAGGAATGATAACATCATTAGCCTACAATTTGACATGAGTCAACTGTTTCATCTGAAGTGGCTCGAGTTAAAGTATTGTATGAATCTTACATCTCTTCCGAAGCTTCCACCGAATCTCCAATGCTTAAATGCATATGGTTGTACTTCACTAAAAACAGTCGCCAGTCCACTTGCTCTTCTTACATCAACTGAGCAGATTCAATCCACCTTCATTTTCACTAACTGTCACGAACTCGAACAAGTCTCAAAGAATGCTATCATATCATACGTTCAAAAGAAGAGCGAGTCGATGTCAGAGGATCGATATAATAAGGTATTAATCCTATTTTCTCAAGTTCTTTATTATCTTTTTTTTGAAGAGAATGTCAAATTTTATTTAACTCAAAAACAAAATTTACATCAAGTGCAACTTGTTACTAAATGTATCAATACAGAGCATCCACATTTCATGATTTCTTTTTTTTTTTTTTGGCATTTCTATGTTTTGCAGGATTTCATTTTCAATTCCTTGATCAGTACTTGCTTTCCTGGATGTGACATACCCACATGGTTCAACCACCAAGCATTTGGATCAGTCTTAAAGTTGGAGTTTCCTCGAGATTGGAATGAAGGTAGATTAAATGGTATAGCTCTATGTGTTGTAGTCTCGTTTAAGGATTATAAAGACCAAAACAACGGTCTCCAAGTAAAATGCACTTGTGAGTTCACTAGTGTATCCTTGAGCCGGGAAAGCTTCATTATCGGTGGTTGGCCTGAACCAGGCGATGAGCCACATAAGATTGAGTCGGACCATGTCTTCATTGGCTACACAACTTTCCTCAGTACCAAGAAACGTCAACAATCTTCAGCAGCTACCGAAGTTTCCCTTGGATTCGAAGTGACGACAAATGGTACATATGAGGTTTTAGAATGCAAAGTGATGAAGTGTGGTTTCGCTTTGGTATACGAGCCCGATGAAGCTGAGAACAAATCTTGGGAGGCAAACATTGATGCAACTCGGAAGATGGAGAATGTTAAGCAAGACCAAATAAGCTCTCATAAAAGTATAGAAGATGATGATGATTGCCTGGGTGAAGCCAACTCTGGTAGAATTTCAACAATAGAAGAATCGAAAAAAGAGAGGGGATTCTTCAAAAGTTTTGGAAAAAGTTTTAGAGGATGATGCTCTAAGTGAGGAAAAACATCTAGCCGATTACAATTTTCTTAGATCATAGGCAACTGTTGTTGTGTGGGGTAAGTTTTGGGTAGATTAGGAATTGGTCGGTGATGAGTAGACTAAGACGTCGTGTAAACATGATTAAAAAATTATTTTGAAAGATTTTTTGTAAGAGATTTCTAATAAAACAAATGTATTGACTGAGATTCTATGTGTTATACAAGTCTCTTCAGAAGCAAAGAGTTTCATGGAAAC